ACCGACGACGCACGGACGCGTCCTGACGACCCCACCGCCGCGGCGCCTCCCTGCCTCCTCCCCCCCCCCCCCCCCCGTCGAGGGCGAGGAACACTGGCTGCTCTGCAAGGAGAGAAGGCTCAAGGTTACCTCCGCCCACCGGATTTGTTCGCCACCCCCATCCACAGCCAGTTTGCCTAACAACCAGTTCACCGGTTGGCCTAATTACCAGGTCACCTCCAAGCACGAATTTGGAATTCAAATGAAGGAGTTTATTTTCACCTTTTATTCCAACAGTGGCTCCAGCTTAATCAGTTCTCTAATGATCAATTTGCCTAATTAACAAAAATTAAGCATTTTGAAACCAATTCACCGACGGCCCTTCTGTCTCTGTGGTGTGTTTCCAAAGATTGCTTGGCTCTCCTGGGGGCTTTTTCTTCTTCTTTCAAAAGCAGACATGCATTTCCTAGAGCTGTGCATTTGCCCTTGGACTTGGCACTGCCTCCCTCTGGCTGGGCTCTGGGGGCAGCTGGGCACGTGCCGGGTGACACACACGGTGGCCCTGCCGCTGCTTGCCCGGTTCTACCCAGTGAAAGGGCAAGTTGGGCAGTGAGGTCCTGCCCTCGGCTGCGGGTATGTGTCACTGTATTCAATTCACAAAGGGAAACCAGAACAGGAGACACGAAGTGAAGTATCAAATATCTTAATAAAACACGCTTATTCCTAGGACAGAACAACCTTAGGAAAAACTCTTTGTATCAAAAGGCCAAAAAGTCCTTAAAGGACTCCAGAGAAGGGACAGCAGAGAAGGATGAGCCTGGACCCAGCGGCTCTGCTGTCCCTGGCCTGTGACCCTGGGCAGGTCACACCAGCCTCCCTCTTGGTACAATGGGGTGACAGTGGTGTGTCCTTCAGATAGGTGAGGGGTAAGCGGGTTAATCCAGTCACTGTTTACTATGGAGCTGGCCTGGAGACTCGCTTTAACTGCTTTAGAAACACAGATTAAAGCGAGCTGCCCTTAGAGGAATCCTTTGTTATTTCTCTTTAAAAAAATCTTAAAATGCCAAAAAGTTGGGAGAAAATCAGGCCTGACATAGATGCAGACCCAGCCCGCTGCCCCTCGAGCTGGGTAGGGGGCGTCTCCAGCCTCAAAGGAGCTTCCAAATGCAGCCTCCCTTCCTCCCTATGATTTGACTAGCTTCTGCCCTTCCCTCAGCTCCACTCAGATTTCTAGATCCTTCTCTCCATCAGCACCCTCCCCTTGAGGACCCTGTACCCCCCAACATGAGCCTCCACCGTCTTCGGACGGCAAGGCCTGTGCCCCTCTTTTTGCCTCCCTGCTCCCTCACACAGAAGCTTTTAATGGTTTAATGAGGGAGGGTAGCCCCTAGCCCCAGGAGGAGACGGCTCACAGAGCGTGGCTTGGGGGGAAGGATCCCCACTCTCTCCTGGCTGCCTCCTAAGCAGGAAGTGAGCCCTGGGAGAGCTGGGGGCGTGGCCCCAGGAATGAGGGTGCACACTGGACTCACTGGGGTTTCTGGAGGTGGGAGGCTGGGTGGAGAGCTGCCCAGCTGGGCCAGGAGGGATGGAGGGTGTCTGCTGAGAAGGAGAGGATAGGGCACTTGTACCCCAGGTCTCCTCTGCCTTGGGATCAGGAAGCTTGGGGACCAGAAGGCCAAGGAGGTGTGGTGAGGGGGAACCCACCTGGAGAGGGGGCTGTGGACACATGTGGGGTCCATAGAGGACAAGGCTGGCCAGCCCCAAAGAGTCCTGATCCAGGAGGGGCTGAGTCAACCCTGGGATAGGAGTGACACCCCCCCCTCCACCCACAGCAGCCACAGGTGGAGATGGAGCAGCCCCCCAACCACCCCACTTGGCTTGACCTTGGGCCTCGGCACCAGACCAGGCTGGCTGGCCCCAGCCCCAGGAGGGGTGTTGGGAGGGGAGGGGAGGTCAGAGCACTCTGTGTCCATTCCGGTCCATTCCAGTCCTGGGGATGGGAGGGGAGGTCAGAGCACTCTGTGTCCATTCCGGTCCATTCCAGTCCTGGGGATAGGGATGGAGAGCTTCAAATGGGGCGTGAGTCTGGGCTGAATGTTAATTGCCCCAAAGGATCAGAAAAGTTAATGGTCGGAGGGTGAGGGGGTGGGGGTGTGGGTGAGGGGAGGCGCCAGAACACACCGTGACTAGCATAAACAGACCCTATCTGAGTTACAGCAGCCAGCGGGCGGTGGGGGGGTGGGGAGGGTTGTGTGGGGAGGTCTGGAATGGTGGACAGAGCCCCAGGAAGTGCCAGAGGGGCTGCCAGCCTAGACATGATTCCTGTGCTGGGGCTCTGTGGGCCCAGCCTCAGGCCTGGCCTTGGGGCGGCCTCCTCACCTCTCCCCTCAGATGGGGCCAGCCCACGGCAGAGCAGGGAGCAGCACTGCACACGGGGCCAGGAGCCTTCCCCAAAAGGCAGCCAGGACGGGGGCCTGGGGGCTGGAGGGGCTCGGGGTTCAGATCTCTGAAAGCTGAGCCAGGTTGACTACGGTCCTTCCCATAACTGAGGCTATGGGGGCCAGAGAGGGTCCCTGAGTTGGCACAGTGGCTGCCCGCAGGTTTGGAAACCAGAGGGGCTCAGAGCCTTGTCTGCTCTCCCGGGAGGGTGGTGGGCTGCCAAGGGTGGGCGGGCCTGCAGGGGACCCTCGGGCCCATGGAGAACAGATTGGGCCCAGCAGGGAATCTGCAGCCCATGGGGCCCCAAGCTCAGATCTGCTATCAATTTCCTAGGTTCTACAGGGCAGGGCACAAAAGAATGGGACTGCAGAGTCTGTTGTGCTGTGCATGCTGGGGACCCCCAAGACGCCCCTTTGTGGGGAGGACAGCTGAGAGGTTCTCCTCTCTCACTATGCTCTGGGCCAAAAGAAAAATGGGCTCCTCCGTCCCAAGAACCCATGCTCAGGGTCCAAATAAATGGCACCTTCTGCCCAAGCATGTGTTGACTTCAGCATTTTCAATTTTTTCCTGTGTAGTCTTTCTTCAAGGCCTCTTGATCTGCGTGCTCAAGGAGTACATAACACCCTGATGTTTACTCTCTGGCCAGGGGATGCGGGGGTCTCTGGAACTAGGGTTTTTTTTTTCACCATCTTGCTCTCTTTTGGCTGCCACAGCTACACATCCAGGCAGAGCCAGCATCCCATTGCGGGAAATGGCTTCCACCGTGCAGGCTGCCTGGTAGCCGAGTGGAAACCATGGCAACAGGAAGCAGGGAGGATCTTCCCGTCACCCCGTAGAAAGGGCAGCCTATTTCTGGGACCTGAGCCCAGTTATTCACTAGTTCTGCATTTTGATGTGAATTTCAATTCTGGAGAGCTGGCTTTAGGATGCTGGGCCTGAGTTGGGGGCGGTGTTGGTTAAGTGACCTGTTCACCTTCTTTCTCTGAAGGAGACTCAACTCCTGGTCCCAATCTTCAAGGCCATTTGTGCTGCCACAAGACTCAATCTCTAGCACCCAATCAGATCCCTTCTTCTGCCTGAACAGGAGCAGATGGATGCTTTGGGTGTGACTGGGGTGGAACCGGGACCCACTGAGGGGTCCCCCTCACTGTGTGACCTCTTCCTGTTCTGAGAGCCTGTTTCTCTGTTTCCAGCAGAGAGGAACTTTTGAGCTGCCCTGACCACGGGGAGGAGGCTCTGACATGGTCGGGGAAGAGAGTCGAGGTCCTTCAACCCAACATGAAGCAAGCCCCCAATGTGCCTGCGAGCGCGCACACGCAGTCCAGCTGTGTGGTCTTTGGTGCAGGCGACCCTGCCCCCTAGTGGCAGGCTGTGGCCAACACACCGGGCTCAGGGGGCAGGCTGCCATCCAACTCACTGGGATTCCTTCCAGCTTTGACCCAGGGGTCTTTAGAGATGGAGACAGACGAGGGCCTGGTCCTCTGATGCTAGGTCCAAGGAGAAAACTGCAGGCTAAGTCTGGGGTGGGAGAACATTCTGAGAACATCTCAGGAGGGGATCGCAGCTGGCTTCTGCCAGGCCATTCTTTCCACCCGCCACCTGCCACCTTCTCCTTGGGTGACCATAGCCCCTCTAATGGCTGTCCAGACCTTTCCCTCCAGCTGCCCCAAACTGAGACAACTCCTTGATGGCTCCCCTCCTCCTCCCCAACACCCAACTCCTGACCCATTCTGAGGGATTTACATCCTGAATTGATTTTAAATAATCCACTCGTGGTAGGCTGAATTTTGGCTCCTGCGACTTTTGCCCTCTGATGTCACTCCCATGAATATATCACACTGCATGGCTGAGGAGACTTTGCAGATGTAATTAATGCTGTTACCAACCAATTGACTTGAACAGAGATAGATCAGCCTGGCTTATTGGCTGGGCCCAGTGTCATCACAGGAGCCCTTAACAAGCAGAGCTTCATTACTACCTTGGAGATGAAGGGGCCAGGAGTCAAGGAAACGGAACTCAGTCCCTCAGCCTCAAGGAAATGGATTCTGCCAACAACCTGAATGAACTTGGAAACAGAATATTCCAGAGCCCCCAGATAAGAGCCCAGGCCCATCTGACACCTTTTGTTTTCATTTTGAGATTATTATAGATTGACAAGAAGTTCCTGAGACAGCCCAGAGAGGTACTGAGTGCCTTTCCCCAGGTTCCTCCATGATGATCCCTTACGTAACTATAGTGTGACAGCCAGATAGCCCGAGGTCAGTGTCTGGTGTCTTCATACAGTGTCTCTGAGACACACGCTGTGGCCTTCACTCAGGACAACTCCTTTACCCCAGAGAAGTAACAATTTAAGCATTCTCTTCTGGCTTCCGTTAAAAAAATACAGCTTTACTGGTGGGGGGAGGGTATAGCTCAGTTAGATCACGTGCTTAGCATGCATGA